GATGCATGGTTGGTGGTATCCGACATAGCAGGCTGGTACATCCGGTAGCGCATGACGATAAGTACAGCTGCATTGGTGTCTTCAACTTCATTCCCCTGAGTCAATCTCCGTATGAAGACATCCAAGAAGAAGATTGCCTGATGAGTCCAACGGGGCCGATACGTACGTCGCAATCCGATCTATACCGTTGTCTATGTGCCATGCGCTACCTGATGTACCATCCTGCTATGTCGGATACCGCCAACCATGCATCGACTAGGCGCCAAGCACGAAATGATGGTGGTGGTGGTGGTGGTGGTGGTGGTGGTGGTGGTGAGAAGGAGAGCTCTGTTCCAGAACTTTGCAGCCTAGAGAGCATGTGTGGGCAGTAGTCAACCAAAGTACAGCTGCAGTGGTGTCTTCAACTACATGTATATCACTAGTAAAACAGAGAGGTTCCAGGCTGTCCAAGAGAGTGCTCAATACCGAGTGGTAGAGCTGGTTCAAACAATAGGAGGACAGAGGAAGTGTTTTTACTCAGAGTTTCACGCACTAAGCGATCATCAGAAAACAGTAATTGGAAATCTGGATCAGTATTGGTTTATATCCTCACAAAGCAAAGTGTAAATAGCGGCAGTGCAAAGCGTGAATGACAGCAAGTGGTGAAAGGTGACAACCACTGGAGCTGGTTGTCTCTTACTCAATTAGGTGATGGCTGTAGCTGGTTTAAAGTTCCGAAGGTAGTACCTATTCTCATGGCGACACTTCGACACAAGCTCACTCCTTTTGTTTAGAGAGAGGTGCTTGGGTGCTTGCGCGATTGCCAATTTTTCCGCCAGGCACAGGTTGCACCTTTTGCTTTTGTTGCTGTAGGCCGCTGCTCTGCGGTGTACCGCCCACTGAATGCTGCATGCCTTCCCTTCATCCTTTTTGGTCCAGACGTACTGCGATAGGCGGGTGTCCTTCTCGTGTTGTCTGTGGCGGAATGAGGATTGGTGGTTATAGTAGCGTTGTTTGAATGTTGTTGCTGTTAATCCAGTATATTCCTTCTTCTCCATACCTGCGGTGACTCTTGCCTTATATACGATACTCTCCGTTAGACACGCTCCGTCCAGTGGACACGAGTCTTTCGCCCGGCAGTTACAAGTCCTGGTATCGTTGTCACCTCCGTTAGCTTGTTTCTTGGGTCGTAGAATCGTGTTATTGTGTTGCTTGATGATAGTGGCCATATTCTGCATGCAACTGTAGCTAACCTTTACAGAGTTCCGGTTGAAGATTTTGTTGAGGCTTGAGCCTTTGGGGAAGTGTTTGGCCACTAGCTGGAGGAAGCGATGTCCAACGTTGGTGGCGACGTTCTTGCTAAATGGTGGGTTGAACCATATGATGTTCCGAGGGCGATTCCTTTTCTTCTTCTTCTTTGTCTCGTCCGTTTTACGCTCGTCAAAATACTGTACGTTCTCCCGGTATCCACTCTTCCTCAGCGCGTCACTGTAGATCGGAGTCGCATCTATGAAGACGTCTTCATCATTGGAAATATCTGTTAGTCTTCTGCTGATCGATGCAGGTAGGTTCTGGATGATTGTAGGTGGATGGTTTGACTGGCAGTTGATGTACATCGGCTTGTCGTTCGGTTTCCGGTAAGGGCAGTACTTTCCGGTGGTCAGGTCCAATGTCACGTCCAGAAAGTCGACTCTCTTCAGGTTTGTCTGTATCGTTATCTTCAGTCCGAGGTTCTGGAATATTTTGTTCATCTCCTTTCTTATTCGGTCAGCTTCATGTCCTGATGCATTCCTGAACACAGCCAGGCCGTCGTCGCGATACAACCCGACGTCTCGGCCGTTGAACACGTCCGCTATCATGGCGAGGGCGAAGGCTCCAACAAGCTCACACACCTCAGCCCCATCATAGCACCCCATTGTGACGTCAAAGTGCTCGTTGTGTCTCTTCACCCAGTGCCTCTCCAAGCCGAACAGCAGAGATCGCCTGGTCCCTGCCATGCCGGCTCATTAATCCCTCAAAGAGTGAAATCGGCATAGTCTCGAAGTCTATACTGGATACCGCTCTAAAACAACTCCGTCCCCAGCTGCAGATTAATGCATGGAGGAACACGGCAGCGGTGATAGAGTGGTTCTCAAGAATACCAGAGAAAGAAAACTGCATATTCGTGTGCTTTGACATCGTAGATTTCTACCCCTCAATCTCCGAACACCTCCTCCAGAGATCCGTCGAATTCGCCCGCCGCTACATGGACATCTCCCAGGAGGAGGGTGACATAATATTCCACGCCAGGCGATCTCTGCTGTTCGGCTTGGAGAGGCACTGGGTGAAGAGACACAACGAGCACTTTGACGTCACAATGGGGTGCTATGATGGGGCTGAGGTGTGTGAGCTTGTTGGAGCCTTCGCCCTCGCCATGATAGCGGACGTGTTCAACGGCCGAGACGTCGGGTTGTATCGCGACGACGGCCTGGCTGTGTTCAGGAATGCATCAGGACATGAAGCTGACCGAATAAGAAAGGAGATGAACAAAATATTCCAGAACCTCGGACTGAAGATAACGATACAGACAAACCTGAAGAGAGTCGACTTTCTGGACGTGACATTGGACCTGACCACCGGAAAGTACTGCCCTTACCGGAAACCGAACGACAAGCCGATGTACATCAACTGCCAGTCAAACCATCCACCTACAATCATCCAGAACCTACCTGCATCGATCAGCAGAAGACTAACAGATATTTCCAATGATGAAGACGTCTTCATAGATGCGACTCCGATCTACAGTGACGCGCTGAGGAAGAGTGGATACCGGGAGAACGTACAGTATTTTGACGAGCGTAAAACGGACGAGACAAAGAAGAAGAAGAAAAGGAATCGCCCTCGGAACATCATATGGTTCAACCCACCATTTAGCAAGAACGTCGCCACCAACGTTGGACATCGCTTCCTCCAGCTAGTGGCCAAACACTTCCCCAAAGGCTCAAGCCTCAACAAAATCTTCAACCGGAACTCTGTAAAGGTTAGCTACAGTTGCATGCAGAATATGGCCACTATCATCAAGCAACACAATAACACGATTCTACGACCCAAGAAACAAGCTAACGGAGGTGACAACGATACCAGGACTTGTAACTGCCGGGCGAAAGACTCGTGTCCACTGGACGGAGCGTGTCTAACGGAGAGTATCGTATATAAGGCAAGAGTCACCGCAGGTATGGAGAAGAAGGAATATACTGGATTAACAGCAACAACATTCAAACAACGCTACTATAACCACCAATCCTCATTCCGCCACAGACAACACGGGAAGGACACCCGCCTATCGCAGTACGTCTGGACCAAAAAGGATGAAGGGAAGGCATGCAGCATTCAGTGGGCGGTACACCGCAGAGCAGCGGCCTACAGCAACAAAAGCAAAAGGTGCAACCTGTGCCTGGCGGAAAAATTGGCAATCGCGCAAGCACCCAAGCACCTCTCTCTAAACAAAAGGAGTGAGCTTGTGTCGAAGTGTCGCCATGAGAATAGGTACTACCTTCGGAACTTTAAACCAGCTACAGCCATCACCTAATTGAGTAAGAGACAACCAGCTCCAGTGGTTGTCACCTTTCACCACTTGCTGTCATTCACGCTTTGCACTGCCGCTATTTACACTTTGCTTTGTGAGGATATAAACCAATACTGATCCAGATTTCCAATTACTGTTTTCTGATGATCGCTTAGTGCGTGAAACTCTGAGTAAAAACACTTCCTCTGTCCTCCTATTGTTTGTATATCACTAATACATAAATCCATTGATCCCCGAGCTGCAGAGAGTGCTTTTAAATATCAGAGACAGAGCTCACTACTACATACATGTAACCTCGGGGTTATGTACTCTTGTTATTACCAACTGGGAGCACATAGCCCCAAGAGTGTGCAACTCCTGATCTCTTTTAAAGCTATGGGTGCAATACTCTCGGTGCAATGCACAGCGCGCTGCCTGTAAGTTACGTAGTGCTAATGACGATCCAGCTGCCTTTTATAGATTTGAGTTTTCCTACGGTTTAGCCTCAACGATTTCATGTGCCATTATGGTAAGGGGCCATCTGGCATTATCGATAATTTTCATGAAACGAAAAAGTTTAGTTAGGACCCTCACCCACCCCCGTGAACGAAAAAATTGACTTGACAGCTAGAATCCATAGATGTCTCACATTTCAATATTATTTTAATTATTTTTCCTAACGAAACTCTCCTTGACCTACCCATAAACGAAACTTTTTCTTTTCGTGCAAAAGATCGATAATTATGGACAGCCCCTAAGGCTAAGTTCAAAGGCAATGCCTGATTGCCTGTGGGTGACGCATCACATACAGAACCATCCGAAGTCTCAGAGGAAAGCGGATTTTGAAGCAGGAAACCGTAGCAGATCAATAATGATGCAATGGCCCCGGGGCATAGCTCGTGGTTGCGTAATCCATGCAGCGCGCCGTGCCAGATCCCATAATGCAGAGTTGCATACTCTTGGGGTTATGATGGCCCGGGGGGGGGGGGGGGGGGGGGGGGTGGTGAACGTGAGAAGCTAGTCCAAAACCACGGCGTGCCTCATACGTGCATTCAGATGAGCCCGTTGCCGTTTCACGGCTTGCTAGTAACTAAACGGTCCCTAATGATGCACGAGTTCTTGCCTTTACCAGCTCGCATGACTCATGACTCATATTCAGGCAATAAACTTTTGAGCATGCTGATCGCTAATGTCCCCATTCACATCCAAGCTGCATGCTCAAAGCTGGCTCATGGTTTATATTGAAAGCAGGGAATAGTACAATACCTGTAGTACTCCCTGATTGAAAGCCAGGAACATGACAATTTTAAGTAATAATCACAAAACCGGTGATGCTGGTGATCATCGCGGCTGGCAGTGTGCAAATCTCTCCAGCGCGCAAACCTTGAATTATGAAAGTGGAAGGTGAATTCTAGGGCACGGGGTTCACACACACGTACATGTCCACACGGCACACGCACACTACGGTGAACACTGGTAGAGGTAACTGATGGCTTCCTCTGTCATGGCACGGACGTACATATTCAATTCGAAAGCGCTTGCAAAAACTGAAAGGATAATCACTGCCACAAACACAATACCATGAATACTAACAGTGGGCAATCAGCGCACGGCCGTCAATGGTTGACAAATAGTGACAATGACAGTAGCTAGGAGAAGAAGAGCACAATGTCATGCTGTTCTACCTGCAGAACTAGAGGAGCTAGATGGGAGCATGGCCTTTACATGAAACCATTCTATTTCAATGATAATAATGATCGAAAATAGGTCAGAATGGATTAAAAAAAAAAAAAAAAAAAAAAAAAAAACAGCAAGTGGACCAGCAACCACAACAATGACGACGATAACACCAACAGCTGGAAAGAATATAACTTGGCTCGTGATGCCACGGGAGCGAGATAATAATATTGAAATGGGTATAGACTATGAAGCAGCAGTACACAGTGTCACGGTCACCGAGAGTGCTGTAGAGTCCAGCTCTGGTTCGAATCAAGACCAACAAAATAAAAATAATAATAATAGCTCAAGTCTCACGACTAGAAATAGTCATAATAGCTGTGCTGGCAGCACCAGTAGCTAGCACAGCATACCTAAATAGAAATACAAACATTGGAGCAGCTCAGCGTTGGAGCGTGACTAAGTAGAGAATAACTAGTACTATACCTAGGAGTAAGAGTGCTGGCAGTCGCTGGAACACCGTTCGAGAGGATACCAGCGCCGTGCGTGCTGATCTTGGCCGGCTGTGCACAATCCTGATCAGCAGAACATGCCGTGCGAACAGATACGCAAACAACGCACGTACACGCACGTACACACACACACACACACATACGCACACACACACACACAAGCACAGATCCATGTAATTCGTTAGACAGGATCATCACCTCACACGGCGGGAATTTCAACACATCGCAATACACAAGATTGCATTCTAGCTGGAATGCACAGTGGCAACTGAGTTCTTAGAACTATCACCGGCACATACCTGGATGTTGATGGTGATGTGCGACGTGCTTTCTGAGTTCCCTGCAGAACATACACAATGTGCAGCACAGAGCCAGTCAAGCAATGCATCGGGGGGGGCAACACTGGACTACAGCCAATCTCCACATGTGATAGATATATCGAGCCACTCGGGACTCTGACCCATGGATTCTGGTTGATCATGGACAAAGTTCCTTTCGTTGCAAAATTGCTGTGCATACTGAAACACAAGGAACTAAGGCCGTTCCTGGGTTACGGGTATGCGGCGGTGCTACTGTGCGGCTTGAAAGGCACCAGACATCCGAACGGCGACTTCTTATGAGTTTTAAATATGCCATAATACATCAAAAGATCTTCAGTTACCAACAGAAAAAAGAAAGATTGCTATAGTTATAAGGGGGCCAGTGCGGGCAGAGATTTGTACAGGGAGGCCAAACGCATGGAGCTGTCCATTGAACCGGAACCTGCCAAGAATACCAGTGACCAGTACCAATTTGCCTTACCAGTGCTTCCTGAACTGTCCGTTGCAACATCGCCCAGAGGTCCTGCGACAGTTCGAGGCGCTCCAAAATGGCCCCGCTGGCTTTGAGCCGTGCACATTCCGACACCAGATCATCCAGTTGCGTGTGTAAATTGGAAAAATTCGATGATATATCCTGCGTGGGCAGACACCCAAACCACACCAATGCGAGTACCATGCTTGTTAGGTTGACTTAATATACATGTACACGTACGCGTGAGCTGAAGAGTGTTAGACTACAAGGACATCTATTGGAAAGAAATTGTGAACCACAACTCCCCCAGCCGTTTTGCTTTATCCTTCTCACTGGTGTTTGCAGCACCTGTTTACTGTGCTTGAATTTCCAAGCAGAAGCAACACTTGTGTACTAATAGCAGTATATCTATTCCTCCTGGAATTCACTCCAGGTTTTGCAACAAGCAAGTCACCTACGGAAAATACAGCATTCCTTGAAGGCTTGATCGAACCCAGCATTTTCTTTCACATGGAAGCTAAAGCCAATGTTTATCGTTCTGTGAGTACTCTTTCCACCCACCCTACTGGAATACCCCACCCCACCCCCACCCACACAGACGGCGAATGCGGAGTGATGGGACGTGCAGACCCTATCCACAAAATAGCCTTCTGCAACTCCGCACTAGTAATACAAGAGGGACACTACGGACTGTACGACTGAGTGGGGACAACGAGAAATTAGACATCATTCTAGGTATAGGAATCTAACCTGTAAGCACCAGAGAGACGCTGATCGTACTCCAGTACTTCCCAGACTTTCGGCACTAGAGGTTGCTGCTCCGTTCAATGACGTGAGCATGTCAATAAAGCCATCTATATTGTTGAGAAGTTCTAGGCGTGCCTGCAAAACACACAAGCAAATAGGAAAAGCGAACATTGCGGCTCCGTACCAAAAGTGCACACTCCAGCATGCACTAGTCACATGAAAATGGAACCCGAGGAAGACATGCCTTCCTCAGACTTATCCTTGAATTGTGGAATTGGAGCAGAGGCAAAATTCAAAAAATTGTCTACTCAAAGTTTGAGATTATGGCAAGGCAAATTATAGACTTTAGACTCCATCGTCACTCTCCCAAGTAGGACCATGCGTGATTTGCAAAGCCGTTCTATTGTGTATCAATTTTGTATGCTGAAGGCATGGTAAGACAAGTATCCGGTAGCCATGTCCTTTCTTGAGAGCCAGCGAAAATGAAACTTATAGTTTCTTTGTAACACATGTATATAGGTTCTTGTCTCTATGTGTGTACTTGGTCCGCCCAGTTAAAATTGGCGCTTATCTTCACACTTGTCTCAGGAAAGAAATACTAATATTTGAAGCAAGCCACGATCACAAAGCACTATATACATGATTATTTACATGTCAGTAAGCAACTCAGTCGAAAATTCAAGCAAGTTACACATCCTCCTCGCCACTATCGTCGCTGGAGGAAGAGCTCAAAACGTACGATCCGGACAACTGCTGCACGGGTCGTTTCATAGCTTGTTCCACTTCTACTTGTCTCGAATCACGCTCAAAGGCAGTGCCTGCCTGTCACCTTCCCATCAGAAGCTGAGTGAGACTGCCCGCATGTTGACTGTAAGTGTTATCCCCGTTCGTCGCAATAATGCGACTTTGTTTGAGACAAAAAGGCAACGCCATATCAGTGTCCTTTTTTCAAATCACCTCTTGCGCTTATCGTACTTGCTGATCAGCACCCGTACCCACGCGTACGCGAGCCGCTGGTGCTTGTACATGCAGCGCAGTGATAGCTTCCGCGCTTGATGTAGCACCTGTGCGTACTGCACCTACAACGCCGTGCACCAGGCTTTTCGGCTAGTTTCCTGAAAGTCTTTTGCACGAGTGTTTCTCTCAGGACTTGGTGTTTCCTTTGATAAGCTCCTTTGCCCTGTCCTCTGTGAGCTTCAAAGTGTGTCCGCCGGATTGGTCTCACTTACTGGAGACATCGACATGAGCTGCAGTTTCTTCGTCAGCGATTTGCTGGTGATAGCCCTTCACTAGGCGCTGTACTGTGCAAGCACTCAAATTCAAGCTCGCGAAGCGCTTTTTCAGCTTTTCTAAACCTCCCCGGGGTAAACAATCCTTGCCATCAGACAGCTGGAAGTAGACAGAAACTATATTCTCCATCGCTCTGAAATGCGAACATCCTGACCTATTTTACGGACTCGAGCGGAGGTTGCAGTGTTTTCTTGCGCTGACGGAAGTGTTCGTCGGCGGCAGCTCCGTCAAAAAGACTCAAACGAACCGATCGCAACTTCTGTGATGGTTTGTGCTGCCATGGCGTCGGATGCAATGGTCAATGGTCATGTTCGGATGGTGAATCGGTGGTTCCATGCCGTGTGGCACAGGCAAAACACCAAAAAACCAAGTGAGAAGATAAGCGCCAATTTTAGCTGGGCGGACCAAGTATTTTAAAAGCAGGAGATTCCTAATGAAATCGGAAAGTGTCCCGGAGGAGAAGACTAAACATGTATCAACCCCACGCACAACATTATTCCACTGAAAGGTTTTCAATCGCACACCAGTAGATAAAACAAAACAAAACTGACGTGCATGCACTGCTAGTCACTGGAACTTACGTTAGTTGTTGTTTGAAGAACCTGAGCTTCCTCTCCGAGAGTCTGTAGCTGTTCTTCTAGTCCACCAAGTCTCTGTGCATGGACCTCATTGGCCTCAGAGTGCGGCGCAAGTCGACAAAACTCATCCGCCTCGGATACTAGCTGAGTTAGAATAGCACCCTGAGCTGTACACGTGTTTTCGTCGAGAGAGCTTGTTGACAACAGCATCTGTAATACACATACAGCAGTAATACGAACGGGCTATAACGTTGCTGGGACACAGTACAATGGTATAAACAATAGGTATGAAAGAGGTTAGACGCCACGCCCTAGTGGACTGCATGCAGGGAAGGCTGACATGACAGATTATTTGCTGCGTCCAAAACAGCCCAACTTCATCACAAGATAGGAAAGGCTGCATTACGAGTTTGGTGGACACTTGCAAAAAGAATGCAGGGCACATGTGAGTCTTCAAGTGCTCGCATAAGCGTTGCACACACACGAATTCAAATGTGAACAAGGGCACCTCCTGCAATCAACTAATCATCATCAACAGTCACTGTAGCGTATGGCATGGGGTTCATCTCCCGCGCCTGACCTTCATAAGTGCTCAGTTTTCCAAAGCCGCGACTGATACTATACTAACCTTCAGTTCTTCAGCCGTGGCCCTCAGTTTCCATGCAGATGACAGCGACGTGGCGCGCAGTGTCCTGATGTTCTTGAGAACACCTGATATCCACTGCTCGATCAGCTCAACATCATGCCAGTGTCCAGTCCATTTGTCGTGATTGTCTGACGCCTGCTCCTGACTAGCCATTGCCTGGACACATAACACATAACACAGCAGCAGCAGCAGTACAATGTAATGTAAACTGTGTGTCAAACCCCATACAACCATGCCTATTGTGAAATAGCATCAGCACAGCAGACACCAGCTGCATGCACCGATGGGGTGCTAGAAAAGGACACGTCGCGCGCATGACATCACCTTCACATGGAGAGTCGTGCATGCATGTACCCGCATGTACCAGGCATGGGAAACGTGGGCACGCACAACTGGCACATGCACAAGAGAAGCAAGCATGGCTTTTTTAAATGACTCTCACAGCATAATGAAAGCCATTAAAAAGGATTACACGTTCTTACCTCAGCCTCCAGTCGACTCCATCGCTCCCAGTGGATTTTCAACCTCTCCGGTACACCAAGCGTATTGCTGATCTTTGTCGATAGCGAAGCGCTCAGGTTCTGCAGGCTTCTGTTGGCCTCGGAGGCTTCATGACACGCTCGACTCTGTACAACCACCGCACAAGCAGCCAAGAAGCCGTAACACAACAGAAAAGCACATAACAGTTACACGTACAGATCACTAGGAAAATGAATCAGATCAGGACTACTACAGATCACTAGGAAAATGAATCAGATCAGGACTACTACAGATCACTAGGAAAATGAATCAGATCAGGACTACTACAGATCACTAGGAAAATGAATCAGATCAGGACTACTACAGATCACTAGGAAAATGAATCAGATCAGGACTACTACAGATCACTAGGAAGGTGAATCAGATCAGGACTACTACAGATCACTAGGAAGGTGAATCAGATCAGGACTGCTACAGATCACTAGGAAGGTGAATCAGATCAGGACTACTACAGATCACTAGGAAGGTGAATCAGATCAGGACTACTACAGATCACTAGGAAGGTGAATCAGATCAGGACTACTACCGTAGTGACGCACATAAAGGCACATGCACTTATGAGCGAGTTTTTGCGTTTTTGCGTTATTTTTTAGCGGGTCGTTTTGTCTCGCACATAGGCACATGCGCTTCAGTTTCTAGTGTACCGGTACCTTGCATAATTATGCAAAAAGTGCAATACCGCAATGCACATTGAACTATGTGAACATGGTGTTTTTGTGGTGTCTGTGTGTCGCGGGATGGACAGCATTTAGGTTCACTTATAAGCCCATGCGCTTATTTGTGAAGGTGCGCTTATTTGTGAGGGTGCGCTTATTTGTGAGGGTGCGCTTATTTGTGAGGGTGCGCTTATGCCCGGGCATAGGCACATGTGCTTATATGCGTGTCACTACGGTAGTGTCCAAATATAACAGCCCATATCGTTCGGCCTGACAAAAGGAGAAGATCACCTGCGGGCAGCTACTCATTACTGTAGGACATGTATAACATCATATGCTACAAAACAGTGGCAAGACTGTGTATCTGTTTCACACTTGGTATCAGCATGAAACACAATCTGCACAACCCCTTGTCTGTACACTGCCTTCTATCTTGTAGTATCTACACAATCATGTAAACGTGTGCACCGTGTACGCCACTCCTCAGAACGACTGCTTGTATCTCTCACTCCAGCAATTTAGTTAGGAACTGAGACCATCGTCAGACCTGGGCCGGGAAGCCGCAAACTACCTGAAGTTCTCTGAGGATGGCAACGATCAAGATGATTTAGACATACCAGAGCGGCACTGAAGGCATCGCCATTTGTCCTGACATCACTGCCAACAGGGACACGCCTTTCGGTGATGCCCTGCAGCTCGTCCAGCGCTACTTCAGCATCCCGGAGGACACGCCGAGCAGCTGGCAGCTTGCCCCCGACACCCTGCCACTCTCGTCTCAGCTCGGCCAGGAGTGCCTGGCAAGACTGACGGCTTGCGCGCACGCGATCAAGACTGTCCGTTAGCTCTGCCACGGCTGCATGGGAGTGGTGTACGGAGGATCTCTGCAGACTGCCAGCGAGTTCGCCTATTCGCCGTTCGTCCGCTTCACTAGCATTTAGACGTGTGGACAACGCCTGGCACACAGAAAGAGAAAGGGATAAACAATACAGAAATGTATCATATTACAAGCGTGGAAAATGAAAGAGAGAGAGAGAGAGAGAGAGTAGCACACTCGCACAGAGTACCACCATGCCAGGCAACGAGCATCACTGCTTTCTATGTCCACAGTGGAGATGGATATGATTCCAACAGTAGTCACTATTGAGCCCAGAACTCTAAAAACCTGTGATTTCCACCCTGCATTTGATATTTGTGCCCCAGTGAGAAAAACTGGTACAGAAACAGTAACGAGGACAGCCATGCATACTCTACCCGGAGCTGCCATACAAAAGTGAAACTTCTGCCTGATATAAGTGTGGGTGGGTGGGTGGGTGTGTGTGTGGGGGGGGGGGGGGGGGGGGTCCATGCTACCGATGTTCTGATTCTTTGTTGATTCAACTTTCAAATAATACCTGTCAGTACATTATATCTGTCAGAATTAGGTTTCGATGACCACCAGCTACTTACAGAAAGGTCCTGTAAATGTGCTTGCAAATCAGCCTCATTGTCACAGCCGCTCAAGTCACCCTCCAGCCGATTGCACCGTGCAAACAAATTCGATAGCGCCACGCAGGAGTCTTGGAACCTTGAATATAGAATGAAAACACAGGAGCAGGGAGAAATTTGTCATCATGTTACACTGCACACAGGCAGCCAAAAGGAAACAATTAAAGACATAGAGAAGAGGACCAGTACACAGGGTGTATAGGTACATGAAGTAGGTCTAACATGAAGTAACAGTTGACTAAACTCTAACCAGAATACGGGAGCAGAACGTCACATACACAGCACAGTGGAAGAAGATTATAATCCATAGAACCTACTCATTGTGTTGGTTTTCACCACAGGTCAGGGCATCGGCTAACTGGCCAGCTTTCTCCGTCAACTGTTCATACTGGCTGCGACACTGCGTGTGACGAGTGTTCGTGGCCGAGTCGTCAACGATGTGGTGCTCCATACGCCCGAAGAGGCCCTGCAGTTCTGCAAGCTGGCCTTGCCGTTCAGACAAGGCTTGTCGCAAAGACTATAAACACACACACACACACACACCCACACCCACACCCACACACACACACACACACACACACAGAGACACAGACACAGGCAGACATACCGACAAACAGACAGATAGACAGACACATACACACACACACATACGCATGTGTGTACCCATACATGAGCATACATACCATCATCAACAAACATACGCAGCAGGTGCACCACATTGAATAGACATGTCGACACAACTGGTTCAACATGCACACAATAATACCCACACAAACACAGCTCACACTAAGCATGGCCTAGATCTAGCTGATCAGTTACACTGGAGTTGGTACACGCAATTCCACATAGATGTACAGCACTTTCTGAGTTTCTCTGCACACTACAATGGGAAAGTTCCCGAAGCCAGGATGATGGGGAGCAATCTAAAGTTCACACCACATCACATCACGTACCACTGCACTGCACTTGTATTCTCCAACTGCATCCCAGGTGTCTAGCGGGCGGCAAAGCTGCTTGTACTTCATGGCTGCCTGCTTGTTGCCAGTCTCCACCTCCATCAGCTTTCCGCGGTAGGTGACCTTGACGACTGCCATGCTGTTCAGTTCCTGTCGACACTCCATCACACCATCCAGCAATGCCTGGCGATGAGCTACTACGGCGCGTATCCTCGCCGAACCTGAGCCATCCGTATCATCACCGTCGCTGGCGTCATCATCCGAAATGCTCTCGATGAGGGATTGAAGGCTTGTCATCACCGTTTCCGAAGTGAGCACTTCCTCCAATTCCTGCAAGAACAGATAAAAGGTGTAGCCAACTTTAAAAAGCATTCGCGGCAGTTCACCAGGAGTAGTGGCTCCACACAAGCTGCATTTGGCAAAGTACCAAGTGCAGCAGCAGCAGCAGCACTAGCCTTCTGAATAGCATCACTACCTTTCTCAGAAGCATCACCTCCTAAACTGGCTACCATAGGTTTGACAGGCTTACTCGTACACCACAAGTCACAACGACAAGATATTCTCACGTGCAACAATCAGAATGATAAACGTTTGAGTCTCTCTCACCTTCACCCGCTCCATCTCTTCGGGCCACCTTGCGTACTGCATAGAGGCTGTGTTGACTTGAGACAGGCCCTCCTGTACTTGCTCACAGACCTTTCGCATGTAATCCACTCTGGTCCACACCTGGCTCCAGTGCTTGAGTTTCTCCAGAAGTAGAGCCTGACGGGCCGATAGCTTCTGCAGCAGAGCCTCAAGCTGATGATTGCTATCTGCATATCTCTGTTGCAGGGCCTCGATATCAGATCTGGGAGCATCTTTATCCTCTTCCTCGTCCCCTTCCTCAATGGTGTCAATTGACCGAGACGGAGGTGGTCTCGGTATAGTACTGCGTGGAGGAGCAATCGACTCCAGCTTTGCAAACTGGGCGCCAAATTGCTTCATCTTCTCTTGGTGTTGCTGTGCCTGAGACACCAGACCCTGCAAGAAACCCAAGAGCCAACACTCAATACCAGACTACGTACACAGCACGGGGCCTGTCAATACGTTACAAGACTTCTCCACCACTTTCCGTCATAATAGCATCAAAGCAGGGTGAAGTAGAAAAATGGTGGGCACATCTTCACCCTGACAGCCCAGTTGAGTATGCCACTGAGCAATATCTTGCCGACGTTCACCGATTTATCACAGCCACTATCTAGTATGTACAATCCCTTTTCTCACTGACATACAACTAGAACTTGCTTATTGCAGGGCATTTGAACCTACCTGCATTCTTCCAAGTTGCTCACTGCACGAGGACATTTCGGCGATATCTTCTGTCAAGAGCGTCTCCAGTTCAGCCTCTGTCGCCCGAGTCCATTCCATCACAGACGAGATCTCCTTCTTGGCCTTGCTCCACATTTCTCGTAACCGCGAGACGGTTGCCAGCCGTTGCTCAAGCTGTTGCCTCACCACACCTTCTTCTGTAGCAAGACTGGTAAGCTCCCCATCACTACCATAGGATGCCTGAATGGAAGCATTCATGTTGTCTAGTCTCTTACGCAGGCCAGCCAAAGACTGGCTAGCAACCTGTGGAGGCACAGAAGAAAACGGAACGCACATGGATCCGCAAAACAAATTAGCTAATAGAAAAGGCATTAAGAAAAGTGCCACCGGTGTAAGCTACTAGTCTAGGTGTGCTGTTTCTATGCTATAGCTTTAGAATGCAGCAAATAGGAAATATCAAATAATGTACTCATGTAGTACATCCTACACTGTGTAATCTTAATTTTCAATTTGGGGTTCACACTTCACAGAATGCACACAATGCAAAGATTTTCCATTTTCAGCACACTTAGGACTCAACATGCTCCAGTATACTTCAACTATTACCTGGCACTTGATGGATTCGTTCTGAAGATCGGCCTCATTCGCTAGTAGCAACGGCTGTACTATCCCACTGTTGACAAGAACTTCCAGCAGCTTACCCTGCACAGTAAAAACAATACAGGAAGCAAACAATGCCACCATGACGTGAGATACTAATTTGGCCACAGCCCAAACCTAGACCAGCAGGAAGAGCAGCACGGCCTACAGTGCACAGGCAATGGGACAAATTGCTTCTTAGCCATATTAGTTAATCTATTCGTAGCCTTATTGAGTTAGTCTGCTCATCAATATGTCATGGTCAAAGTCACTTCGCAGTGAGGTCTTGTTGCCAGGAAGGTATACAAAAGTAGGTGATGCAGATACAACAATGAAAATAGAAGCAGAACCGAGCAGCCGATCAGCTGACCGGCCATGTAAACCAGTCCACACTCACCACTAGCTCAAGGGCTATTGGGAAGGCCTTGACATCACGGTACTGACGAGTCAGGCGATCACACAGGGGTCCGTCCGATTCGCAGCGAGTCTGTAGCTCTCCAACACTGCCCTGGACTAACATTGCCTTACGCTGGGCCGTTCGGATAGAGGTGCGAAGCTCCTACATGGACGCATACGGCACAAGCTATTAAAGTTGCTGTTTACATTTAAATAGTGTTCGGTACTGTGAGGGCAGAGCCAGGTGACACAAGTCAGCGATGTAACAAGGTTATATTTTGCCGGTATCCCGGGTTTCATGGTTATGCTCGAATCTTTGGACAAACAATGATGCCACTAGTGATACCTGCCTAGGGTTATCGTAGGAGAGAGGCAAGAGAAACAAAACGGCGTGGCAATTTAGCGCGGCAGATGAAGGCGAAGACGAAAGCGCCATGCCTGGACGTGAGGGGAGAGGATGATGTGCGGGATGAGAATGAAGTCTGACGGTCAGGGGTGTAAAATAAATTCATGGGAATTGCCACGAAAGTTGTTGATGAAAAAGAAACTTCACACATACTCTTCCTGCAAAAAAATTGTCACCCCACGGCATGGCATGGCGCCTTTATCTGCTGCGCTAAAGTGACATGCCGGGTTTTTCTTGCTCCTCTCCTACAATCTAGGTATGTACAACTAGCACCACCATTGTTGTCTAAAGATTGGTGGATATCAATGAAACTCAGAATAACAGCAAAAGTAGCCTTGTTTTGTTTTAAAATGACCCTGTATCACTGCGGACTTGTGGAAACATGGAATAGACTTGAAGGAAATACTAGTAATCATATCTGATCACACTGAAAGCTGGGTGACCTGCAACAAGAGTACCAAAATTCTAGAAAGCCTCATGGGTAGCAGGGATGAATTTATCCGGTATCGCATCGCAGTTTGCTACGCAAAATCGATCTACTGCTACTCAAAAATCACAGTGACATGCAGAAAACTGCCATACATACATGTACAGGCTATCCATGCTTTTTGTAGCTTACGCCACAATTGAGATTTTGCACAGCAAAAATTGCTATGCATAAACATGACAGTAAATTCATCCCTGGGTAGTGAATCAAGGACCCCAAATATACATGCACTTCTTGAATGAAAACACTGGTGTGGTCTGCTATAGGACAAATTAGGCCACTCACATCAAGCCTGGTAGCACAGACTTCATGCCGACTCGCCGCGTTCTCCAGTTCTTGAGTAGTTGGGAATACCTTGCGGCAATCTTTGACGTAGGCCCGAAGCTCTCCGCAGCTACCCTCCAGCTGCGACCACATTTCACCAAGCTCCTCGAGAGCACCGGACGTGTCTTTGTGAAGGTCACCCAGCCGCTCTACTTCCCGCTTCAGGTTGCTGACGTGCTCCATCACGTCTGAGAACTCAGGAAACTGGCTGGCCCTCAGCTCAGCACGGCCCAGGGCACCAGAAAGTTCTGTTCCCATTTCATAGCAGCTTTCAATGACGGTATCTAACTTCTCCAGGGTCCAGTCACCAGTGAAGCACTCCTGCAAACCAAAGCAGACGCACAGGTATGAACAGCGATATCAAAACCCACACATAAATAGAGTACAGGTGATGTTGTCACAGGACATCGTTAATGAGCACATCTCCAATCGTGGGTCCATATACCTACCCACCCTCCTGTTAGAACTTCTAGTATTACTACTTGTTGATTTGCTCTCTCCAGCGGGAAGAGAGTTAGGGGACAAACTTATCGGCTTTCTTTCCAGAATTGGAGCCAGAGAAGGAGGATACATCAATGCGGCTCAGGAAAGTCCTCTTCTTCTTTTCTTAATTAATGCCCAGCAAAACAACTTGCATGCCATAGCACAGCATACCCCAACTCCCACAAAATGACAGCCATATGCCATCTCATGAGTCGCCCCAGTGACTTTCCGACCTAAGACAGGATAATACAGTCGGTCGGCGGATTCCACCAATGGAATTCCTATACAAAAATGTCAACTCTCACATGTACATGTATATAGAATTTACGCGATTACATCATCAGTTGGGATGCGATTACATCATCAGTTGGGATGCTTCGGCGAAGTGACGGACTCGCTGCACAGCGCTGCACTTGCAGTGACTCAAGCTGCATACTTGCTGACTTAGAGTCCGGGAGGCTAAGGTCCATCATTACTTTTTAAGTACCTCCCTCGGGCGAGGATGCCTTTTCGCCATGAGTGATGTAGCAAGGGCATGTAACATTGTAACAGTGCATGTACGTAGTGAAGTGTACTAGTATTGTGGCCCGGTACCATACACACCGCTACATCTCTGTTTCTTTGCTACAAATTACAATCTCCCTTATTGATCCAGTCACTCGCTCACTGTACATGCCCGTGAAATGCTACTAGTAATTCAAGCAACAAGACAACATACCTTCATGGATGCCTGTGCGGCAACAATGGCATCATGAGGCCCAAGCACAGCTCCTAGCCGCGTCAGACACGCAAGGCCTTCCGTAACAGCCGGCGTCACCTGAGCAATGCTAGCCTGGAGATGACTGGCTGCCTTTGCTGCTGGAAAGAAGACATCGGCAAGTGCCTTCACAGACGTGTAGCGTTGCTTCAAAGCGGATGGTAATGCTTCGACTTCTGTCCTGAACTTTTCCGGTATTAGATTTCCGATAGAGTTGGATAGCAGATTGGATATGTGAGCTACTTCTTCGCCGTATGACAATAACTGATTCTGAAACAACACAAGAGTATACAGACCATCAATTCAACTCACGCACAACAATATTCCCACAGATCTACACAGAAGAAGAGCACGCACAGTGCTATCGACACAAAAAGAAGAACTGTGGTCGGCAGGATAGAAAGTGAGATCTCACGACCATGCACATCTATCAGTATCACATTTTTTCAGGATTCTTCTCCTGTGACTTATTTCATAACAATGATTTTTGATGTATTGACAGCATGTCGGCCTGACGTGCATGTGAAGCTGCTTTCCCATAAACAAACGCACAGTACATGTCCACCATGATAGCTGCGTCACCAATCTACAGTACCTTGAGGAGATCCAGAGAAGACAGCGAGGCTAGCAGCTGACCACTGCAGCAGTTCTTGACGCTTTCCAAAAACTGAACGATGGTCTGCTGTCCGGCGAGGACGTCCGACCACAGTTGATACGCATCCTTCCACTTTTGCCAAATCAGGAGAAGTTCGCTGCCCTGCCGGCCCAACGCTTGCGTTTCGTCGGAGATGCGCCCCGAGAATGGCTCACTGATGTACTCCAGTAGACTGAAGTCACAGTCATTGAGCAAGAGGAACGTCTGCTCCACAGCCGTCGCAGTCTGAGGACTACCCTGTAGCCAATGGAGAAGAAACAAATCACACCCATACAAGCATACCGGCCACACACACACACAATTAACACTGTGCTTGTTAACACTATCGGAAACTGGAGTACACCTTTACTCTAAACCGGTAGAGCACACTCATCCAAAATCTGCTGTTGGTGCTGGGTAAAGGGTTACGGCCACAAGCGTCATCTCAATTTGTAAGCATTGCCGCCCCTCCAATTCCCAGACCCGGCTCCCCCCCCCCCCTCCCCCGTCCATCTCGGAAGCTTACCTGCAAGAGACGTACGGCGGCGCGATACGTGCTGTTCCAGTTGTTGAATTGCGACAAACCATTCAGAGCTGCCTGCAATGCTGCCTGCTGCTGCTGAAGTGAGGCGCTGCGTGTCAATCGAGTGGCCCAGATGCTCTGGAATGCAGAGAGTCGCTTCAACTCCAAGTTGACCTATGATTGAAATGGCCAAAATGCATCAAATTTAATATCAGAATTAGCAACTTTATAGAAAAGAAAAAGAACCAAGAAACTACAAGTTACGCTATAATGTCCACTAACACCAACAGTTACTAAACAATCAGCTCATGCGATAACATTGCACGACACTGACCGACGGTACTGACGTTCTACAACTAACTGGCTATTAGCTCTAGTACATCTTGGATGCGCACTCCAACAGCATTCCAACTTGGAAGGTTCTAAGTTACATGATAACATAGGAGGGGAAGGTGAGGCTGTTGGAGTGTGCATCCTAAATGTGCTAGAGCTGATAGCCAGTTAGTTGTAGAACGTCAGTACAGTCGGTCTGTGTCGTGCAATGTTATCGCATGAGCTGATTGTTTAGTAACTGGTGGTGTTAGTGGACATTATAGCGTAACTTGCAGTTTCTTGGTCCTTTTTCTTTTCTATTGATTTATTCTTGGCTCTCCATCCGAGTCCATTAGCAACTTTGCTACGTCTTTCTTGAAGGAGATTGCTGTTGTACTTGAAGTAGGAAAGTGTTACGGAATCTCAGCCATTCCGTTCCCCGGGGCGCAGGACACAAAGGACAAGACTTGTTTGTTACATTATTTATATTTACAAGACGGAAAAGCAAACTGCTCTGACAGAGACGAATAAGAAGACGCCGAAACCCGGGAAAACAACACATCATTTTACAACAAAGGTAACAGTATTTGCAAGGACAGCCGATTACATCACCCATCCACCCGCAATCGCGCAATACCTGCTCCCGATGTCCTCAATACCTTGTGTGCACAACCATACATACTCAAACAAGCATTGAACTGCCCGATGCTGCAAAACAATAAGCAGATTGAGGGCAATTCTTGAGTAACCTTTCACATACACATAAATGCACTCAAAAAGCCCTACTTTCCTTTGAGTAGCTCTTGTGTTCAATCAGTCAGATATTCCTTACCTTAGCAGAGATAGCTTCCATACTGGTAGTCATTGTGTCCAGATCACTTGAAGCTACCTGGTCGTGGAGAGCTTCCTTTTGCTGACATGCTGCCTGCAGATCAGCCTGGATAGACTTTGGAGCACAGGATAACAGTGAAGAATTGAACAAGAGTGTTACAATAGCATTCAAACACATTGCACCACCCGGACGGTCAGCTTTCAGGCGACGCATCCAGCTCATTGACAGTGCACAGCAACAAAAAGACCCGCCCTCGTGATCATACATTCCACTGAAACTTGTGTTTAGCCACTGATGATGAGTCATCTAGACTTTAAGAGAGCGGCTTTGTCCAAAAGATAGAAGACGCATCAACCCATGCAGAATAATGCAGAATAATGCTGAATAAAAAGGCTCAGTGTAAGCCTAAAACGCCTACGCACATTAAAGGCTTACAAACTTCTTCTGTCTGTGGAAACTCTTGGTGGCAGTGGCACAGGACTGCCATGGCGTGAAGTGTGTCACATACATGACTGTACGCCCAGTGTTCATATCCAGCCGGCAGAGGACCCCACAGGTCTTGCAAGCGCGGGAGATTCGGCAGCACTGGACAGCACTGGACATGTAAAGTGGTGCACTTCCTATCAGTGCTCACCTGTATAGTGTGTTCCACGACGTGCACTTCATCCACACTGTCCAGGAGTGCACCGAACGACTTCACATCCACCTCAATCCTGCCAACAAGCTTGCGCAGCTCCTCTAGCTTCTGACTGGGCAGCATTTGCTGGCTGAGTTCCTGCAGTCGCTGTACGCTGGCACTGGCGTGTTCCAGCACTCTCCAGCGCTGGCTTTCGCTTGCACGCAAGAGCGGAGCTAGATCTTGACTTCGCGCAGTCGATGACTGCACGCAAGGAGAGGCACAGGGATAAGAAGATTGTGATATGAGACATGCACACACGTGGTCATAGACCTAACAGAGATTTCGGAACTCGTGACCAGGCAAAGAGGACAACATGGCTGCAGCGAATGCGATTGTCGGTCTTCAACCACTTGGTGGTGAGTCTGGCTTACACACCTCCCTCTGCTTTACAAGCTGAATTTGAGTCTTGACACTTGGTGGTGGTGGGGTTCCTAGGGATGCGGAAATTCCGTCTGACTAAGACCTAAAACTCTGTTTGCCTAAGTCTTACGAGGAGCAGTCAACTTCCTCCAATAGTACCGCCAAAGTCGCTACATCTCAGTTCATATTGAGCCTGCCATCACTAACATTTGTTGTTGTTTCAACATTGTCTCCAAATCAAGTTGGCTAGGGAATCACTAAGCGGTTTCCCTGCCTGGAATTACTCGGCTTACAGTATCAACTGCTTGTGGTGCCGAGGCAGCGCATCATGCAGGTCTCCAGAATATTATGCTCTTCACTATTTCATGTGCCCTGCCCATACCCTTACCGTGCACAGTTCCTCCAACTCGCCCAGCAACCCAACTGCATAGTCACACTCCGGCGAGTCTTCGCCGAATAGGGCCTGAAATCAAAATAGTTAGAACATAAAAAGAATACGAATACCAGTCATTTAGTATGAGAATATCCATTGCGGGGACAAAAAGGAGGATTGTTTTTAGGAATTACTGTGAAAGCACCACACTGTGATGCAAACTTGACTAGCACGACCAGTCAACTAGTAAAAGATACAGTGCACCTGTCACAAGTTCAAGTAGCATCTGGCCACCAAGAGCTGGGACTGCAATTCGAGGGCCCTTTCGAGTACACATTACAATTGCCATGTGGTCACGTCTTCATTTTTAAATAAGCTCTGAATCAGCGAGTGTTTCCGAGTTCATTGTGAGGTTGTTTCAGCTGAATGCGACTTATGGCCACCTGTAATGGTGTCAATACAGATCTTGCCTTGCGGCGGAGTAGCTTTTGAGACCAGCTAGGCAGCCTGCAAGATTCAATGGAACGTATGCAACATTCAGAATGGAACTGATAGAGGGCCGTAAGAATCCCAAACCACCGGTACAGGGCAACACCCAATTACTAGTACATTGTACAAAGGAAATTGGGGTGCATACTGCACCAGGTTCGACGCCGTCACAGTATCAGATGCGCTTGCAGATTTCAAAATACTATATCTGCTCCTTGTGCTATAGCGCTATTGCATATCACCATCTCTTTATTTAATTAATGTATTCCTCACATTTTAAATTTTAATTGAGTTTTATTCACTTCCAACATAATTTTATTGTCATCATCTAGGAAAGGCTTTCCTCTGGAAAATCCGGAAATAAACAATGCAACACTCAATACTCGATATTGTGTTTCAGAACTCCCAATGAAGCGCACGGAAGCACTCGAAGGGTGTACATGGCCCGGTGTACCATGATCTAGGCAGAAGCCCACACAGCACGTGGCTGCTGGAGGCTGTTACTAGTACATCGTCCTCTTTGCCAGAGCTCCAGAAAAACCCCAACTGGTCTCTACAACTGTGACTCGAAGACTCGCTCCAAGGTGGTATAAGAGTGCATGTAATAAATCAGGGGATGTCGCTACAACAGGCACTAACTGGCAATAGTCGATCGCTAGCAGCGATTCAATCGCTAATTCAAATAGGACGGTTGCATACTGCATCGTGAACTGATCGTTCGGAAAAACTAATATGTACAGACCAGTATTACAAGAATATCTTGGCGGCACAATTTGACGGCTAACGAGGGCTTCTTCAGAATCATAATTTCGATTGCGCAAAACGTGCCGGGAGGGTTACTAGCAGTGGAGATGATCGAGAGATGAGAAGGAATAAACGATGGCAGTCCACTTCACGTTGATCAATCGGTATGTGTTGACTGATCATTCGCAGTCCCTCACCTCTTGTTCTTTATTTCGGAGCTGGTGATCGACCTCTTCTTTAGTTCTCTCCTTTTCTCTGAGCATACGGTACAGTGCGCGTCGCTCGTTGTCTTTCCCTCTCACTTCTCAGTCGGACAGACCTCTGTCTCCGAGCACTAGAGCACTTTCAACTCTCATCACATGCACAGCACAGCAGCGCTCGTGATCTTGAATAGCACTTGTCTTTAGAAGTAAGTTCCCAAGTAGGTCTACAAGTCCTGATCAAGACTTTCATTGAAAGAAACAGAAAGTCAAGAAGAGCGCTGATATCATGATCGGATTGATCCATCGCTCTCAAAAATGATTCATTGGAAACGACGTAATTATCTGACCTGGAAGTAGCCGATCCGATCCCGGCCCCGCGCGCGGAGCGTAAAACCTTTTACGCGCGATATTCGGCAGTCACGTGCAGCCACAGCATACATCTTTATGTAGGCGTACGCGTAGATCCACGTAGAGTCAGTGCAGTCTACAGTCTACAGTCTACAGTCTACAGTGTTGCTGCTGCTGCTGAGAAACTAGCGCTAGCTAGTGCTGGTGACAGTGCAGTGCAGTGGTGTACGACTACGAAAGACAAGGACGATCCGACTCGTTTACCTACGATCAACGATCTGATTCCAAAAATAAGGGATGAGCCGCGCGAGGTGCATGAGCCGCTATGCTATATAGCGCTAGCACTCTTGAGTCTTGGCAAGTCTTGCCTTGCACGTCGTGCGAGTGCTGGCCTCGGTCTGTCCCCGATCTGTAATCGGTATTTTAACGGTATCGGTTGCATTACCATGATAACAAGGCGGGTAATTCAAACACGAAATCGACTTCCCCATATATGCCCAGTCCTAGTAATCATGGTAATGATCCATACTGATCTGTAGCAGTGTAGGGCCATACAAATAAACTCCATAGGGACTTAAACTTTCTCGCATCATACTTCTTCTTGTCAAAATCCTTCTTATGACATATCACATGATAATCAGCATGGTGGTGCATGGGGTTCCTAATGCAATGCCTGAATGGCCCCATATGGGGCGATGATGGCGGCCATGATGCCTCCATCTCCAGCAGGCAATTCCTGGCATCTTGAGAGGACATCGTTGTCAGAATCACCATTGCTCGTCTTCAAGCTCCTCTCTCCATTCGTTTTCGCTTCAAAATCAGCTCCAAGCCAGTTCTACATATTCCGCCAAGCCTGCAAGTCTAAAATTAGGCTCAGCGAAAAAGGACGACAGTGCCAGAAAAAAACAAAAAACGGCTTGCAGTACAAGCAAACTGATTACTTCACTCTTCTTGCCCAAATGTTTGACGGATGACCGCTGAGTAACATGACCAGTCACGAGTTGCCATTTTGATTTCGCTTAGAAATAGAGTAACATTGGCTTCGCTCTAGCTCGCAGGCTGGCGCCAATGTTAGACACCCGTGTCACGGTGCACCCATCATCTGGGCCAATGCATGGGCACGGGCTTATACTTGTGGGTGGTCCGATCAAGTGGCATGCCATGCCTATGGTAACAATTAGTAGAACATTATCACTTAATGACGTACCAAGTACTACCAAGATACAGTCATATTGTTCAGCATGGAACTGCCATGATAGCAGCGGACGATGCCAAATGGATATCAAGGCCAGAGTTTCTGGTTGGTACAGACTGATGCATATTATGGGTGCAAGGATGTTCTTTCCCCATCGACTCAGCCACACCTGGTTCCTGCCTGTTGGCCGAGGTGCTCTGTGGCCACGAGCCTCAGAAGCGGACCGCGTACAGCATCGTATCTAGCGTGCCTCTTTCACGCTCATTGTCATGTTCTCTGCTGGCACTTTAGCAAGCGAAGCCATGGTGCTCTTCTATCTCTTGGTCCTGTTTTACTCAGAAACCAGGCTCGCATATCCGAGTGTGCAGCTATCTACTTGTGACTGATTACAAGTCCCGAGTGAGAAGTTGTGCGAAACCCTCTGTGGAGCAAAGCTAAGCGCTTGAAAATAGTTTTGTGGGGAGTGCACGCAGGGATTGTTATGACAACATGGCATGTGACTGCAAAATTTCTCCTCAGAAAACTGAATCAATAGCAGAACAAGCGTCCTATTTCTCATCACCTGTCATTTGTATACGTGCACAAGCACATTTTTAAAATTTGCCAAATTGTTCCCTCCCTACCAAGGATTACTCTCATAAACATTTGACTGAGCTATTAGCTTGTGCTCAGCATGCAGTCCAGCACTCAATCACCCCTTTGCCCACCAGAGCGGAGCAACACTAATAGGCAGGTGGACGTTCTCGATGGTTTCCCAACTGTCGGTCTTTTGACAGTTCTTCTAGTATCCTTGTTTTTCTTTTAACTAAATAAATGTCGTCCTACATTCCAGTTGGCCAGGCCATCGTATGTGTATGCCCCAAGGTTGCAGTATGTGTGAGCCGCCAGATACTTATATAATCTTCCTTGCATCACAAAGCCCACCAGCAGCAGATGATGACTATCATTCAGACTGTGGTCCTAGCGTTTTGGTGACACTAGGCACCAGTGGCTGGATAACTAACACATTGTCCAATCAATCAGTTTTAATCACATGGCTCTGTGGATACAGTGGAGACAGACCATGCAAGCGAGCACAGTAAACGTGAGTCACAAATAGGAACAAACCTGAAGCTGCTCGATCTCGTCAGCAAGGTGAGGGTCGAAAGCCGTCAGTGCATCGGCACGGTCCAGCTGTTGGTTCCATGTGTCCAGCGTGGCAGACATCGTCTTGTTCTTCAGGTGGAAGTTCACCAAGACCAAACAATCATGACCTCGCAACTCCTGCCATAGGCTTTCAGAATCTTCGAGCTGGGAAAGAGAGATATAGATGCAATGGTGAGTGATGGAGACGGTGCTGGAAGCCTGGACATGGTTAGATGTTGTGAATTCAATGGGGCTTGAAAATGCTACGTCACAGCCAAGCTAGTCATGCCAATGCTGACTTTCGGATTCACTTGAGTCCTATGTTTGCATAGATCCAAATACGTTTGGGTGGGTTCACTTCACAGTTGGGTAGCACATCCACCAGAACAGCGGCCTTGCACGGTGACTGGACTGCCTCTGCATGTGACAAGTACCTTCAAAATCGGAAAATTATCTTGACCGTGACAATGGTGTACTCGTATGCACATGAGATAAGTAACATGGCAGCTCGGGCATGAGCATGATGACCACTCTACCTGTCTTGCGTAGTCCTCCACGTCAGCGCTCTTGGAGAATACGGCAATTGAATCAATGGATGCCTCGCAGTCAGTTAGCAGCTGCGAAAACTCCTCTTCGCCCTCAAAGCCAAACATTGCCTGCACACCATACACCATAAGGATCACATCTCATGACCATGGATAGATAACATCCACCTAAAGAGACCTGAACTGCTCGCAATTGATGTCAGTGCTGTGGTGTACAGCAGTCATTGATATCGCAATCAATACAACACACCGTACACAGGTATATTAGCAACAAAGACAAAACACTAAATGAAGGAAAGGCTACAAGAGCTTCGTGACCAAGATTACCCCCATTAGTATGCTGTTCAAGTGGCAGGACTAGCTACATTGAACTATAAGATACATTCTACCAACATCCTGTACCAGTCCACCAGGCAACAGTACATTGCTCACCTCCACGTCTTCAACCAGACCAGGTGTTATGTCCGCGGGATCAAGCTCCTCACACTCCGTGACCAATGACCTAGCCTGAGCCAGTGTTTCTTGAAGTGTTGTCATCTTCCTAGAGAACGTCTCCAGTGGTTCGTGCAGCTGCACAGGGCAGAGGCGAGCAAAACAGGCTTTGGTCAATGGCTATTCCGCACACTTAAAAACGTTCAAACACCCAGCGTCGCACACGCATGATGCAGCAACGCCTGGGGACAAGCCAGCGGAATGCATGTGTGTCGGTACAACGTTGAAGGTCACACAGTGGAATGCATGTGTGTCGGTACAACATTGAAGGTCAGCCGACGTAAAACAGATAGACAAGAGCAACAGATCCTTACGGGAGACCAAAAGACTGTGATCAGCCTGTGCAGAAGACCACAGCTGAGCGCAAACAGTCACAATCAGAGTCTAAGTCAACCTAGCACAGACCACATGGGATTTGCTTTTAGAAGAAAAATAGCCACCAACCATGCTCTGAATTCGGCCGCGCTCTCCGTCCACCTGCACTCGCACGGAGCAGAGCCTGCTATTGACTTTGTCATACACGTTGTTCCAGTGTTTTACAGTGATGTACGCTAGCTCTGCCTCGCCCATCTCCACACTCTCCGTGGTGTTCTTCAGCTCGAGTAGGCACTCCTGGATGATCGGCGTCTCCTGTAGGGGCAGTGACACAGATGAATGAGTGACTTTGCGGAGATACAAATAGAGTAGGAAGACAGACTGAAAAAAGACGTATCTAAAGTAACTACCCAAACCCGGGGGAAACTGCATGAAACATCGCAATTGTTCATAAGATTCATTATCAAGTTCTTGATCCTAGCTAAGCCTCCAACACCCACATCGAGACTACATATGTTTACACAAATAGGAGGCTGACAGGGTCACACAGGTATTTCCGATTGTGAGAACTCTGGACTTCTCCTACCTGCTCGTCACACTGAGAGAGATAGGTCAGTTTTTCATCGGCCATTTCAAGATCAGCTATGTCTTCACAGTCCCGCACGGCCTGCTCCAAGTGGGATAATCGCCTGTTGAGGTCAGCGTGCAGATTCGCTTGAATTTCCCAGATGGATGCGGCGGCGGTGACTAGGTCAAACGATGCCGCAATCCTACGCACTTCTGCTTCCGTCTCCGAGTCCTGTTGTCTCTGCTCGGGTGCTGCAACGGAGCAAAACACATACCAACGTAAGATGGAAGCCAATGCACGTTTAAACTTATCAGGTCTCAAAGCATGCTGAGATGGCATAGTAGCTTCTCAAACATCACCATCAAATAAAAATTCAGATAGTGAAAATACTGTATCAAGAGAAAACAGGAGGAACGCAAACAGTGTCTGCCTTAGGAGATGAACACAAGAAAACGTCACGTGTTCCACAGTCTTTAGAAAGTGACCCAGCTAGTTACTCATGAACTCTTGGGAGTGAGCAAATTGCAAACTGGATCACGTTGAGTCGTTCTACCCCTACCCCACCCTGCTACTAGTGCTGGAACTGTGACTCCACTCCTGACCCAAAATCTTGGCGGGGAAGATCATGAATAAATTGCACAGCACGCATAACACTATTTTGCTGCGTGGTAGCTATGTTTATCGGTTTTGTTGGGACACGGACTAGACTTGCCCATAACCAACTCTAGCAATATTGTTGACAGGATAGGATATTTGCTTAGCCATTAGGCAAAGATATGCCAAGTTTTTCAAATTAATCATTTCCCATTCCAACCAATAAAAGTGGGGGTTATGCACAGATTCATATCAGGGGCCGTGGTCCTTCAAGTAAAAGTACACGCAACAAATTTGACCACTTTTGTCTAGCAGGCAACAGCAACGTACATGGTACAACAAGATGTGGAACGACAGATTTGCCACTGCGCACAGGCGTGGTGGCTTCAGCTGATCTAGCCGGCGAGTCGGTGGGCGTCACCTGGATGGACGGCGACGATGGCGAAGAGCTACGGTCGCCCAGCGCATGTCCTCCATTGGACGGGGATTGCGGCGAACCGAGAAGGCTGTCGTCGGCCGGGTCCAGCTGCTGCCTCCCCGGCGATCCGAACACGGCCATATCCGCCACGCCAGAGTCTATCTTGGCCTTGTCGAACACTCCGCCGTCACCAGCAGCGGCGGCGGCATCATGAGCACCGCCTGCAAGCTTACTTAGAAAAGGAGCGGTTCTCTGGGGGTCAGGCGAGTGCTCACCGTAGAGTCTTGCGTCGCTGGCAAGTCGCTCCAGGACACTGGCGGTCTGCCCAGTATACATCTGAACACGAACACAACATGGCATAGAGGCTGCTTAGAATAAAACAAAATAAAAGATCGTATTAATCAGCAGACAATGCACAGGCCCTGAGTTGACAAGAGAACGATACAATTCAGAGAGAATTGTATCCAATGTGTTTCTACAACTCAGCCAGGAACAAGAACTTGCTGGAAACATTTCTAGTCTATGCTTTGCTAGCTTATTACTGTCATTGACGCCATGATGCAAATTATCATTCATTTCATATAAGACAGAGGAAAAAAAAGAGAAAGAAAAAGAGCCAAACTAACATTAGTTAATAACAAGATCTGTGAATGAAACGAAGACTTTTCTTGCAGCAATCGATACAACAATGAACCAGTACTTTAATTTTACAATGCAAGATTCTCAACCAAAGGGAGGCCAACTTCACATGACCACTTTCACTGACCTCAAGCTGCTGCAAGAACCGTTCATTCGGGCCACAGTCATTCGGCAACCACCACTTCAACTCATTGAGTAAGTTGCGTGATCGAGCAACCCAGATTAGAGGCGTAAAGCATAGCCACTGGGACTGCAGATGAATACAAAAGAACAACCGCACAGATTGGTGAGCATTGTCACATTTGAGTAAGGCTGTCATGTCAACAAAGCTGTGAAGACAGACAAGTAAGCACACTGATACTATACAACAACCTGGGCGAAGAATGGAACGCAAGAACATGTGACTTTCCAACAGAGCCTCGCACTCCTGCAACATTGAATTCAAATATTGGTGCCGTCTAATATCTTCAACATCGCAGTCGCAGAAAGATCCTCACCTTCCGACCAAGGCTCTCGCATATCTCGCTGAGATCCTGCAGCTGCTTTGTGACTACCAGCGCATCATCTTCCCTGCATCCCGGATGCAACTCGTCTTCGAACTTTGTCTTCAATCTTCTTGATTCGTGCAGCACATCATCGTGTTTGGAGACAACAGACTGTGCACAAGATAGACAGGGTCGCATTGTAAGATCAATAGCGGGCTATTCAGCTATACACGGCTTGGTTGCTTGCAAAAAGAAATACACAGTGGAAACATGAATGGCAATCCAGATGCAGATCAAATACATTACTTCTGAAGTACAGGGGTGAGGATCATATAAATTTGCATAAACAAATGGTTCTGCACTCTGGCTTTGACATGAGGCCAAAAATTGACACTCAATAATCAAATCCATACCTCTCCTTGATTAAGTCAGATATCAATTATCTGACAAAATAACGCATCAAGAGCAGGCCCCCAATCCCTGGAAGAGAGTCAGAGAGATTACTCACCTGTACATCGAATGCCAGTGACGTATACTCTGCTGCGTCCGGCTCCTTTTCAATTCGACCGACCAGTTCTTCGGCGTTGGAACGGGCGCATGCGGCGTCGTCCCATGCCTGCTGCATCTCATCGGTGAAATATCGCCATTCCTCAACGAGTGGGACAAGTCTTTCACGTCCTTTAGTGCAAGTCGTCTCCAAACTCAGCAATACAGCTTCCAGCCTGTGCAGTGTGGCACCTTCCTGGTCAAAGTCAACACCAAGGTCAGCGAGGTCCTCAGCAACTTCATTCAACTTGTTGAAGTCAGCTTTCATCTTTTCCAACTTTTCTTTCGTACTCTGGGGAAGAGAAGAATAAAAAATACCCATCCATTCATTCTGTCCTCCAGAGGCGCTAGATAGGATTCCGAGAATAAATCAATGACCATAGCAATAGCCCACGAAACAGCCAGTCGGCCAGTGTCTCAGAGCAGTGGTGGTTTACAATTACGAGGAATATTACTAAAGTTGGAAGGGGTAGGGCTGATACGAAAAGATTCCCAGAGCGCTCTACATATTCCTTTGCCATCAAATATTCAACTTCAAATACAGATTCAGAAAAAGGGGCGTACCTGAAGATTCTCCAGTTGGCTCTGTATGACCTGGAGTGGTCCAGTGAACGCATCGTTACCCTGGATCAGCACAGCTGCTCGGTTCAATTCATCTCGCAAAGGACTGCTCATGGAGTAGAATTCCAATCGCTTCCGCCAACCTAAACATGATACAAGGAAGACAGCTGCTTGATCGGATACCTCTTAACCCTTTAGGGCCCACAATTATTTCAAGAAATGCACTGCATACGCAAGCCCAGGTACTTATCTGGTAACTTTGGTGTCCTTTGGCCGATTTTGGTGATCTTGGGCTTTCTGGAAAGCTCTTGGCCAGAGGAACACAGCGATAGCCAGCAACACGTCACTCGATCCACAGAACCAGCGCCGCAGCGCGATACGGCGCTCCAAAGCCAGCATTGGGAGCGCCCAACTCAAATTCTCTGCCATTTCAACTAATTGCATCGCAGATCGCTCAACTTCTTTTTACTGGAGAGCTGAGAAACATGCATTTGCGATGACGTGAACTATCTGTAGCTGCGTGGGCCGCGCGTCAGGGAAAACCCCTAAAAATGAGTTCAAAATGCACGCGCTCGAGTTGACTCTGCTGAGCGAATTTAGTTCGAGTCTCGTATCTCCGCTCTCCGAACTCGGATCGTTTTCGGGTTTTTTCGAGCCGATAGCTGAGACAATTTTAATGTCGATAGCCCTTTCGATTGTCCGATTCGGTCAAGGGACAGCCGACTTACGCCAGGTTGCGCTATGAAAAGTATGCACTGTACACTGGTACGGATATATCCGTACTATGGGCCCCAAAGGGTTAAATGACGATGAAAGGATGTGCAACCACTACCACTCGCATAACTGCGTCAGATATATGACAGGAATGCACAAATAGCCCTGGAAATGCTCATTTCACTAATTATTAAATTTCAACCTTGAGTTAATCTTGCATCAACCTAGGGCATACAACAAGCTACCAGCAGCAACATTCTTCGCATGCCATATCAAAAGTGACAACTGGCCGCAATGTTGATTGCCCACCCTGTATATGCAGCATGCACAAATCATTAGAAACCACTCAAAGTAGTATGAAAGTACCTGGTAGAAACACCTGGACATCATCGACAATGCACTGCCAAAGCCGGATCTTGCACGTGTACTTCTTCATCTCGGGAGCAGCAACGGACTCCACCCTCAGAATATCCAAGTCCAGCAGTCTGCAGATCTTCACGATGCTATTCTCCAGGCGATGCATCAAACCTTCCAGGTCCTGCAAGCCGCAGATTGTTGCACCAAAAGAGAGTTCAGCACCAAGTCTAGTTTTGCTTGCCCCCATTTGTCAAGGCTCGTGGTCATCGTTTGATGTTAGTGTACAGTTCTTTGTTCATTTTTGGTAAACAGAAAAGAAAAGAAGGAACTAAACAAATATGGCACCAGCACTGTATAGTGAATGGCAACTAAGCACAATTGAATAATACGTGTACTAGGGTTGTTGCAAAGTCTTCTCTCAAGAGGTAGAGTGCTTGGTGATATAGGTAGAGAATGCTTGACTTGCAATAGATAAACTGATTCTCGTGTGCCCATACGACAGAGTGTGTAGGCAATGTCGAAATGCAACTAACCTGGAGCTTCTGTATTTCTCTTTGCAGCTCGGTGTAGTCCAGTTCTGAGTCGAGAGATGAAGATTGCTGGTCCTAAACCACATATATACACACAATGTACAAGCGCGCGCACACACACACACAAACACACACACACACACACACACACACACCATGGAAATAACGTGCCATGGAAAGTTATCAAACCAGACCAGAATGAAATACGGCAACCTGATGATGCACACTTTTTTCGCAACGCTCTGTCCCCCTTTGGGGAGGGGGGGGGGGGAGGGTGTCAATATGACATCGTCATTTCCTGATAAGCAGGTCCGGACCCACTTCACCACGAATACCTCATGCACACACACACAGTGCACCTTATAACTGCAACAGGAATATTCTACCCACCAAAGTCAGTATTCACCTGCTGTACATATGAGGTTCTTATCGACAATGGTGCCGTACCTGCAAAGATGAACGTAGTTGCTGAGCAAGTGTGTCAACATCGTCCACCAGGCCAGAGGCTTGTTGCTCATTCAGGTTGCTTTGAAGTACGCTGATCTGAACACCACAACGGGCACACAGTTCACACAAACAAAGGCCATCAGGACATCCCCGTGATACCATTGCATGATCAGGGTATTTTCTAGTCAGCCTTCCTGACTTGCTTTTAGGCATATTGTGGCCTGAGAAGGATCGTACCCCGATGAAGCAGGGCTGGTCCAAGTTTGCTTCCATATGCCCAGGTCGTGAATCCACGGATGTACAGAATATTTGGCTGGAAGCACTCCAGTACATGAGAAAAAGGGTGCAGCTCGCCTCTAAGTGCCTCAACATACACCATTGCATACCTTCATTGTGATAAGAAGATAACAAGCTTCCTGCAAATTTCGGTAGCCTTGCAATTTAGCTTATCACCACACGGAAGGAATTGCATTACAGTCAACTTCGCCAATAACGACTGCGGATATAACGACAATTCGCGAATAACGACATAATTTTCATGCCCGGAGCAAAGTACCATCCAACTGTGACACATATAATGAGACTTCGGATATAACGACACTTCGCGAATAAGGACACTTTTCTGATGCCCCGCCGAGTGTCGTCGTCAGGCGAAATAGCACGTCATAGTACATTTGAGATCAGCGGGAAGAAGATGACGACGTCCACTAATTTAGTATCTGTGCACACGAATCCGTTGTGTGTGTGACTCTGTATGTCAGCTATGATATCATCTTCTGTGGTTCCATGCCTAGCATGTACGTCTGAACCATCCTGCAAAGTTTGAATGACGTAGGTTGAGCGATCGCTCCGCGAAACATACTTTTTGAAATTCTCTTCATAGTATATCTTCCACCACTGAAATTTCGAATTTCTTCGAAAAAAGTGCTGAGAGGGGTGGCTTGCAACCTCGATATGGCTTGTTCCAGGCATGCTTTGGAGCCATCTTCTGTTGAAGTAGTGGCAGGGATCTGTCCTGCAACTGCTACAACAAAAAATGATTCGATCTGAGAAAGGGTGAGACCGCGAATCTCGGTTGAATATTGAGTATTTCAAGCCTTTTCACGACGAAGATGGAGTTCTTTTTGGAGATGGACGTCGCGGCAAAGGACATGGTGTCCGACTTCTGGCGTCTGGTGAAGCCAGGGATCATTTGTCCAGTCAGGTCGGCATCCCAACCGTCGGTAAGCTTGTGTTTGGATCCCGTTCTGCTCGATGTGGCAGATCACAAACAATTTTATATCGCACAAATTGATCTCAGCATCGTGCGTAAGGAATTTATATTCAGAAAATCCCAAAGTGTCTCTGTGTGGCCGTCCTATGCCACGAGAAACTCCAATCAGGCTCTTATGTCCTCTGCCTTCATGATTGAATGTCCACTTCGTTTGAACAACGAACACATCAATCGAGGAGGGCTTTGCAACGAAAAATACAGCTATACTGGAGCTGAAAAAAGAAAGAAACTGAAACGTGCTCAGGATGAGACTCGAGTACACGCATACTCTCCCAGCAGGTGAAACGCAAATTTTTGTGAAAAATGCGTGACGCCGACTGACCAGTAATTTCGCCTGACGTATAAGCGAAGTTGACTGTACTAACACTCTTGATGAACATTTAGCTCATTGCGGCTCCAGGAGATACTGGTAGACCCAGGTGCTCGAAGTCCGTACACTTTTACAGTGTGTGTTTGCCGAGCTGAAACTCACACTAGCAATGATCACTTGCCAGAATCCTGCTCGTGGATGGAAGGTATCTTGTCCAAGTTTGTTCTGAGACCAGGCTCGATTGAACCAGGCCATCTTTCGATCCGATCTGTTTCTCTGGAGTTCGCTGATTTTTCATATCAAATTGTTGTGTCGCAGAGGGTACTCTAAGTCCGTACTGATCAGAGGTGACTCGAAATACACACATATTTCTGCTAATTGCTAACTTGCAATCCCTCGGTTACGACGAAAGCACCGAAGGCATATGTTTGGGATGTGCCTCCACCAGTATTTCTTGCAAAAGCGTAGTTTGTTGCCGAAATGCAAGATGTTTTTAGTCGGCTCAGAGAAGAAGCAGCTGCGCTGTGAAAACCGCGGGAAAACAGTGGTGGAGATGCCAGGAGTGTCAACCTTTCTGCAAGGATTGGTGGTTCTCTGTAAATTCTTCTCCTCTGGCCATTGTCAGCTCAAAGCTGGCTCTTGATGATTGAGTGAAGGTCTGTTTGACGCTGTGTCCGTTCGAAATCGGTCTTGGCAAAGTTGATTTTTGCATGAAATGTAACCCAATTTGTATTTCGTATGGACACTCGAAACCCACTCGCGTGGTTTGGGACTTCTGCTTATCGTAGATCCCTGAAAATTGCTACGCGAGGAGAACATACCACACTGTCCCCTCCATAGAATATTTGAGTCAAATACAATAACAGAACATGAAATTATGGGCGTACAAACTTAGGATACCATGTACGGACTTCGAGCACCTGGGTCTACATGCCGTAAGCATGATTTAGTACGCATGGTAAACTCCCGGGATACACGCCGCCAACACATGCATCAAACTATTAATTCCCCTTCTAGAACAGGGGAGAACTAGTGCTATCAGCGGACAGCTCCATGTGCGCAGCATCAAATGCAATCTATTTGGAAGCAGTCCAGAGAAGTGTAGTAAGCACTCCGTCCCTTGATTAGGGCAATACTGGTTGATCACTGGTGACCTACCTGGCTGCTGATGCACATGATTGGGTTGGACGTGTCACCAAGCCCAGCCAAGCGCCTCTCCAGGTCGGACAGCTTCCTACTGATATTCTGAAGAAAAACCTGCACAAATGAGAAAGCAAACAAATGTTTGATAGCATTGGAGCCCAAATATGCACAGGCACTGCATATTCATATAGATAGATACTCCCTGGGTAATACCATCTAACATATTATAATGTGACACACGTTCTATTCAGGCCTTTCAAATTTCTAATAGTGCAGTAAAACCTGTGACTAGCGACCACCCCTTGGGGTCAGAGAAAGTGGTCTTTAGTGGCAGGTGGTCCTTAGTTAGAGGTTTGCACAGCACAACCATCTATGAATGTGAGACCACCCGTGCCTGGCGAAGTGGTCTGTAGTACCAGGTTGGTCGCTAGTCACGGTGGTCTTTAGTTACAGATTTTACTGTACACGTTTGAAAAGATCAACTCACGTCTTCTCCACTGGTATCTGAGCTTTGCTCCGCTCCAGCCGGTGCCTGCTGGAGCAGTTTCCTGCAGCTCTCGCACTCGCTGACAAATTCCTGCCACTGGCGGTGCTTGACCTGCTGCTGCTCGTTGGACAGTTGGCTTAGCTGGTGGTGGCACTGCTCGATGCGATTGTCCAGTAACCGCACTGCCTCCTGCAACAAGAACGAGGTGATCTTGTTCTGCGATGCCCTCAGCTTCTCCTCGAAGTCGGACACTTTCTCCAAGAGACGCTAGAGCGGCAGGGTGTGAAATATGAAGAGGAAACAGTGTCAAATTCACGACAAGGAGCAAGAAACCAGCAGCTACATCACGGCAGCATCAACTACTGACCATTCAACCAAAGAATCACATGCAAGTCGTGTATCTACTTGTAGTATTATGCATTACAGCATTCCCTCACAGCAGTGACTGTATATGCTGGAGTATGGCGTGCACTCAACTTTGACTAACATGTTTAAACCAATCAAAGGTACACATTTCGACACGATCCTTTCATATCTGTAGATGAAAGCGCGCCCAGGATTTCCAGCCTCCAAAAGTGCATCAAAAGCACCTACTGCAGCAAACAAAAACTGGATGAATGCATTGCCCTGCATCACCATACCTTCCGTCGATCAAGGTACGATTTCAAGTCGCCGTACGAGCTCAGCGAGTCAATCCCGCTGTGTAGCTCAGCGACGGCATGCTCAACCTCCACCAGCAGATCAAGATACTGGCATGCTTGCGTTAAGCCATCAAGCCAATCTTTGGACTAAGGCACATGTAGAAGATGGGCAAAATAGCAAAAAAATACTCACCAAAACGTAAAAAGCAAGAACAGACCATTAATCATCAGTGCCTTGCATAACGCTAGATGATCCCTAGTAGACAAAACGCCCATGTATGCTTCATATTGCACCAGGAGTTTGAAGAAGTGTTCAATTATAGCTAGTACGTAACATGCACACTAACAAACAAGGCCGGTCCAGGAAGCTCGAGGTAGAGTGCTCAATGTACGAATGTACAGAGCAGTATACACACACAACAGAGGCGAAAGGCTGTGTTAGCTGTAACTTAAAGTTTCACGCATCGGAGCGATCATCAGACAGCAGCATTCACTATCGAATAACATGCACACTACGGATCTCGTTCTGCTCGTTCTGTTCAGGATAGCATACTGACCTCAGCACACCATTTCCGGCACATTGATGATGCCTTCTGGCAGGCGCTCATAGCTCGGAGCATGTCACCGGCCCCCTCGCATAGCATGCTGTTCTGCTCGACAAAGCGCTCGATGTGTCGGATGTCGGATTTTGCCTGCATGCTCAGTATGCTGGTGCTGGACACGGCTTCCCGACACGTTGAGTGCAGCACACTGAGCTGTTCTGCTGTACATGGAAGCTGCTCCTGCACCATCTGCCAGCATAGGATGCGGGATAAGTGCATAGATAAATAATACGGTTGTGAAAAAACCAGTGGTGATCTTGTGCCACGGCTCAGCGTGTTCATCGCAAGTCACAAGGAAGGCATGCAAGCAGAGTGATAGAGAATAAGGAGAGACTAGCATTCCGACCGGTACATTGGATGCAAGCGTAGCACAGTGTGCAGTGTGAAAACACTTCCCGCAATCGGAAAGGAAAGTGCAAGAACAGTATGCATTCATCAAGATGTGCAATACAACAATTATATTCAAAGACGCATGGCAAGTATGCGTTCTACGTGAGTGATTGAAGCACACCTGATACAAAGCAGGGACCTATCCAAAACATCGTAGGAATCTAAAACAGGCATTGAGGAGCCGACACCCCTTTCGACCAGACACAAACCAGCACTGTAATAACACTAGACAGCTGACCAACCTCGCGTGTCTTTGACGACGTCTTGAGTTTCTTGCTGAGCTCCATATCAAGGTGAGAGAGCCGGTCGGCTAGGAGTGCCTGCCACACTCGCCGTCTCTTCACCTGCCACATGTTGTAGAGCTTGCCAGCTGCATTGCGCACTGCTTGGCAGTCACCGGTCCGATGGTGGCAGACGCCGTTGGCGATGATGAGCAACTTGACAAAGTAGCCGTGGTTGCATTCACGAAGACGATCCTACAGTGTCATCAGGCAAAATTACAGAACACAGCATTACCTTAATGGCAGTTAGGTAGGGCCGGGCCTGGCCGGCCCTTGAGGGGAAAATAGAGGCGGATTGCAGAGAATATACTGAGACATTTCAGCCCTGCACTGTAGCAAGGGTGCTAACACATGCAAGATCCAATTCGATTCTGCTATTTAAAAGAAAGAATAATTGTGCGAGATTTATGAGTGTCAGTTGTCATGTTGTCAAGGAGGGAGTGTGCGAGATTTACGAGTGTGATTTTTAGTGTGATTGGACAGGACACTGCGCTGAAATAGAATGAGTGTTGTTGTGATAACATCATTTACGAGTGTGTTGTTACGATACAGTGTTTGTTGTGCGTGTTTGTCGGATACGCCGATATAATCAGTTGCATAGATAATACTTACGTTGTTGCTTGCATTCTCGCTCTCCACAGCAACTCCACTGCGTGCTGCGTTCTATGTATTCCTATTCTGTACATTGACTCTCTCTGACAGGGTTTGCTGTCACCCTGTCTCTGGGCGCAAGCACCCTCTGACAGACCAAACTGATTTGCTTCATCTCCACAATATTTATCTCCTTTCGATTTGAATTTCTGTTTGTTCTGCACTCTGATTTTTCCTTGTTGCACCTGCGCTTTTGTACGCGGAACTTTGCTGTCACCATCGCGTCGCCATTATTTATATCCATGGTTACGTGGTGGTATGACTCATCGATGCATCATGCATGATCATTCTGCTTTTCTACTCGTACACTTCGATATGCATGCACGCACACTGATGTACACGTACACGTAAGCCAATGCACGCACGCGAGCACGTTTTGCTGATGACAGCGATTTGGCGATCGTTGTTGTTTTGGTTTTCTGGTTGATTTGAGAGTATGGTTGAAACCAATAAGTAAATACAGTCTTCTAGTTGTCTCCACGAAAAGGCCAGGAAATCGTGCCACAACAGGGGTCTGAAGACCGCGTAGTTTTTAGTTGTGGTCGATAATTTCACATGCCTTTTCGTGGAGACAACTAGAAGACTGTATTTACTTATTGGTTTCAACCATACTCTCAAATCAACCAGAAAACCAAAACAACAACGATCGCCAAATCGCTGTCATCAGCAAAACGTGCTCGCGTGCGTGCATTGGCTTACGTGTACGTGTACATCAGTGTGCGTGCATGCATATCGAAGTGTACGAGTAGAAAAGCAGAATGATCATGCATGATGCATCGATGAGTCATACCACCACGTAACCATGGATATAAATAATGGCGACGCGATGGTGACAGCAAAGTTCCGCGTACAAAAGCGCAGGTGCAACAAGGAAAAATCAGAGTGCAGAACAAACAGAAATTCAAATCGAAAGGAGATAAATATTGTGGAGATGAAGCAAATCAGTTTGGTCTGTCAGAGGGTGCTTGCGCCCAGAGACAGGGTGACAGCAAACCCTGTCAGAGAGAGTCAATGTACAGAATAGGAATACATAGAACGCAGCACGCAGTGGAGTTGCTGTGGAGAGCGAGAATGCAAGCAACAACGTAAGTATTATCTATGCAACTGATTATATCGGCGTATCCGACAAACACGCACAACAAACACTGTATCGTAACAACACACTCGTAAATGATGTTATCACAACAACACTCATTCTATTTCAGCGCAGTGTCCTGTCCAATCACACTAAAAATCACACTCGTAAATCTCGCACACTCCCTCCTTGACAACATGACAACTGACACTCATAAATCTCGCACAATAATCAACAAAAAAGCAGGGCTGAAGCTTAGAAAATATGCAGGGCAGGAGGGTGGTGGAGTGTGGTGGGGTGGAGGGTCAGCACTGAAAAGAAGAGTACAGAGGTTATGTGAACAACACCATTGTGTATGCTTTGTATGATGTGGACATGTCAATGACACTGACAGGCTAAAACCTAAGATTCGTACGGGTGTTGCGTGTATATCGTACTGAGATTTCACAGCACCGCATCCACCATGGGGGAATTACCCTGTTTCACAGGAGGGTGCACCACCAGAATGGGAGAGCTTTTACCCTCCTACCTCTCTCCCCCCCCCCCCCCCCCCAACACACACAAACCGTGGCCTAGAATCCTGCTCAGAAATGTTCAAGTCTGAGTTGCTGAACCGCCAGCATCTCATTCTCACCTCTGTAACAGATGTCACAATAGATATGCCTGGGTCATCTGGGCAAAGGCTGTTGTAGCGACGAAGGCACCGGTCATAGTGCGATTTCAAGTCGCTACATCTGGAGTGGACTTCCGCCTGCAACAAAGGAAGTGCAACAAACACCGCCAGTTCAAATACCTACACTATGTAACGAATGCGAGAGGCCGAAATGGTCAAGCTTTTTAGAGTAGCCTGTCCGAATCCATTATCCTGAATTAAGGAGCAAAACACACTTGAAGAATTTGTTAGTATGCATCACAAAGGACTAGAAAAGAAGTATTTCAACTCTGATTAAATCGAAACTCACCACTTCAGGCAGCGCCAATGACTTGCTGAACCTTGGAAACCTCATGAAAAACTGCTCGTGGATCAGGGTGAGGTTGACGAGCATTGCCATAGACTCCAAATTCCTCTTGCTCTGGAAATCTGCAGAGATGGCACAATCAAACATCGGAACATGCGCACTGAATACAGTGTTGAAGTGAAGCTTTCAGGAGGAGGCCGGCTATCATAAGATATCAGGACAAAACCTATGCTATAGACTTGACATCCTCTCGATATACACTAGGATTAAAAACATGCAGCATCAGCCCTACCTCATTAAACCTAAGAATGCTTTCGACATACCCAATAGAAAAACATACGTGGTCGCCAACACGCAAGTCCTACCTGACTCAGTGAGTAGTCGATCTGCGTCCAGGCCCAGAAAGTCCTTCAGCTGCTGCATTATGTCAGTGATGGACGAATGCTCGTCTACCTCTGGAGGTGGTTGCCTCACTTCGTTCGCACTGCAAACACAGAAATCCAGAAAAGGAAATACAATATGTCACATGAAAGATATGGACACAATTCACGACAAGTTACACACCTGTCCAATGTGATAAGGAATAATTCAATATTGTACTGGATGGTAGCCGTGAAGTATTGGATGAGTGCTGATGCGCATGGTCAATAATATACTGTAGATGGGCTCAGCCGCCGTAATGCATTCCTCCCGATACCGTAATGCATTCCTACCGATACTGTAATGCATTCCTACCGATACCGTAATGCATTCCTACCGATACATGTACAGTCAGACCTCGCTTATCCGGATCCCTCGCCATCCGGAAGAATATATCTGGTTACTGATTTACAGCATTCGCGATGCATCCAACATAACCGGTGTTCGGTTATCCGGTTCCCTCGCCTATCCGGATAGTTTTTGTGGAAAACGGATTTGTTCGGTTAAGCGAGGTCTGACTGTAGTGCCACTTACGGGATTGCTCTCAAGATGGCTCGGAAGTACTGGCCGTCGCACCAGCTCAAATGTAAATCTTGCACCACCAACGCCGAGTCGACACTGTCAATCAGCACCATCACACACGCAGGCACAAGACCACACACATGCACAAACACACATGCATGAAGACACGACACACGCATTCTCAAAAACATTCACTGAGTGATACTTTCGAAGTACAGTGGAGCTCACTTAGTACACGCTAATCTTGCTGAGTAAGGACATTGTGCGGAGCACGAGTGTATTGATCCATGCTACTGATCCATGCTATTGATCCATGCTGAAGTATGTTAGGACATTGATCCAGACCAGGCTCAGCTGGCTAAAAAAGCCGTGTATGAAACCAAAAAATCAAGAGCAACATGCCCAACATTTTGGCAAGCTGTTTCCGACAGAATGGATCGAGCAGCACTTACGATGCCACACATGCAGTGAACCACTTCTGTAAGGCCGTATAGAAGGACACTCTTGGGTGATCAGCTTCGGCAGTGGCAGCATTGCTGGTGCTGACCTCGTTGCTGCTAGAGGCTGAGTCTGCTTCGGCAGCCTGCTTACCTCCAGCCAGGCGTTTCGTCTACATGAGGGGATGAATTGAACACAAAAAATTACAATAGAGGATAATGCATTCCACACTAATCCGTATAGTATAGTACCAGTACAGACACTTGGGCTTGAACTAGGCTGTCAGTATGCCACCATACACCTGAACTAGCTTGCAAAGACATAACAGGAGGGGAGGGCGGTCAACTATAGAGGTGCGGCATACAAGACGTAATGAACTAAGCCAAGTTGTCCGGTGACTACACACGAGGGATTTTCCAACTTATCTTGCATTAAAACGAAAACGTGCATTGATAGGTCTTGAACTCTAAACCTGCCCAAGATAGGTTGTAACATGCCAAGATAGGGTATTCGACAAGCAAAGTGCTTGTACCCAGCATCACCAATACAAGTCCATACCTGTACAGTGGTGAACAGGCACCAGAGCAATGCCAGACCTGAAGCAAAATCCGATTCGACCATATCCTTCGACACGCCGGACAACCGAATCTGCACAGAAACCGGAGCAGCAATACGTGAGAACCAAGTGGCTAAAAGCTAAGACAGCAGGGGAGGATCCAGAGCGGTTCCAGTTTAGCCAAAACTGAATAGGTTATACATGTACATGCTTATGGCTTCCAGTACACGGCTGTCCCATGCATGCGATGCGCGTTCATTAAATATGGCGGCCAAATTTTAATCTTTTTCATTTTTTACGCGACCTGGCCTAGTCGTATGTTTGCAATTTCGCTCGACTTCCATCTCAAACGGGCAAGGTCAACCGAAACCACGGGTGTTTGCCAGGTCATTCGATAGAGTTTAGAGCTTGGACTGGCCTTGCCTTTGACTGTGCCGCCGCTCGAGCGATCTTCTTGGGTTACCCACGCGCTACGCATGGTTTCTTTCTCGACGTGGGTGCAATTATTTTTGGATCGTCGCTCGATTTCAAGGGCTCGCCAACCTCGTCAGCGAATTTTCTCCGCCTCGCAGAAAATTTTCTAGTATACCTCGATGTCCTAGCCTTTCGATTTCGTGTAGTCCTAAGCTTGACGTGCATCACTGTAGCTTTTCGTGGCCATGTTAGAGACGTAATTTTGTTCAGAAATGGAGGCTCATGTTAGCTTCCTGTCGTCGTGTTGTCGTATTGGAGGGGAGAAATTCGCGTCAAGGAGTGGACAGACGAAGTATCGTGTGGCAGATCATACTGAATCCATTTTGGCAGTGTTTCATCTCAATGTGGATGAAACCAAATACACCCTGAACATTTTTGCCACACTTGAAAATTGGCCATGGAATGCACTGTTACTGCCAGGGGCCCAACATTCTCTGGAGCTCTAGAGGTGGATGTACACCGCTCAAAGACTGGGAGCCACACAGTGGGACAAACTGTTTGAAATGCAAGCCCAAGACTGGCAGGAAGTCCAAATGCAAAACACAAACGCAAGACAAACTTGCGGCATGGGAGAAAACGCGGGCCATCGCCCGCAAGCACGAGCACATGCACGCCGCCACCACTGACAGCAGCATCACCAACAAAACCTCGCCCCACCACACCAGTACCTGATCACTGGATAGTTTAGTCTGTTCGGTTTACGAATTCAAAAAAGGCAGACAAAATAACAAAACTAAAAACACGAGCGTCGCATGGACCGAATCTGATGAGCAGCAGCGCGTCACACCCGCATACCAAGTTTAGTAATAGTAGTAGTATAGTATTTATTCATATTTCTCTAGGGCTTAGTGGGTAAATCTCTGCATCCAGAACAGTTCAGTTCAGATAGGAATGCAACAACACACGCACAATGTCCACTATGTCACAGTGTGGTAGGGAGAGAAGTGTTTGCAGCTTGCTGGTAGACGTTCAGCCGTGCATGCATTGGCAAATGGCTAGAGCAGACGGCCCGCTGCCCTTAATGTAAGGCACACACGCAAGCGTCGGAGCTACAGCAGCCAAACAGCATAGTTCATGGATTCATGAAAGACTGCACCATACACTGCGCCAGCTCTGGTAGGGTGTCCTTTTGAGCATCGTCACTGGTCGGTGACGTTTTGCAGGCCTCACCATCAAAGATGCGAGGTGATGCTGCTGATCGACTTGCTGGCATGATAGTCACAAGCATAACTAACGAAGGATGGCTGGAAGTCAAAACCAGCTGTAGATGTAGATTCCAGGTATACCAGACAATTACTGACGCCGCACTTTATCCGATGCCCCATCAGCGTCAACTGTACGCCGATGGTCACAGGACCGTGACAGCCTTTCGATCGGTCTACGGTCGGGAGACGGGGCTGCAAGCCCAAAGCAGCGGGTATAGTGTTCGTCACCAGCTGAGCAAGAGAGCTTGCTGAGAGATTTAGGTGTGCACTGTTCAGCAACCAGTCCCAATATAGGTTTGTCCATGAAGGCTGGTGATCCTCAGCTATCATACAACAAATTCCTACTCACTGCGCATATGCGCATATGGCTTGTGAAACAGCAGCAGAAACTGCACTGCCTTGACAAACGCACCAGTTACCATGATGGAGCAGATATGCCCTGCCCTGGAAGCCAACACCAAATCTCCAATCGCTAGTACAAGTAGCTCTTCACTAAATCATGCCTAGTGCATGCTTGCAGTGATATTTTCAGCAAGAGCGCTGCAGTTACTGCTGAGGAGATATATTGCGTCCTTGAAGTCGAAGGCGCTCATCAAAGTTGTCTTGCCATCAATTCTTGGCCTTATGCAGGCACGAGGTGGTCTCCCGTGGCATTGGCCATATTACCCCGAGCTGCACTTGCTCGAGGAGCACGTTGTTTCGTTCATGGAAGTCCTTCGTGTTGGACTGAGTAGGCTTGCTGAGAGAACAGAGCGCTGAATCCATCCACGTCCACAACTACGAATAATTTACAAAACATTCCGACTGCAGATCAGCGCTTGAAAACGGCGATGCAAATCAGCGACGTTGGGCTTCTCCATTCAAAAGGAGAGCCTTCCTAACGAAGCAATTCTCATGTGACACTACATAGTCTCTCAAGCACTCTAGTTCAGGTCTTCTTCTCTCCACTCCATTATCATTTCGATCTTCACTCGGTCGACGTGATGGTAGTAGCTATGTAAATAATAATGATGGATTCCTCCCGATCCTCGTCGCGGCTAAAATTTGTTCGGTGTTTGTCTAAATTCTCAAACTGACAGGGTTTACAAGAGAAATGTACCTAATTTTGTGCGATTGATGCAAATAAATCGGAATATGTCTGACTTCATAAATCCGTGCGGTAAACAGCATGAAAGGACGCCATGTCATTAGTTGGTGCACATGAAGTCACCGTGAGTAGTGCATTTGCGAAATTTAGGGCGTT